TTTTCCCCAAAGAAGTGAATGGAGAGTCCCCACAAAGAAAAAATTACAAATCTGTGTGTGTGTCTATGTGTGTGTGTGTGTTTGCATGTATGATGTGTCAGCAAAAGGGAAAACTGAGTCATGTGGAACGCCAAAGTACAGCTTTAAACGGATACAAATCACATAAGGCACGATTTCTAAAAACATATCTGGCTAACGCGACTACAGTTGTTCCGGTTCTGTTTCGGTTTATGTTCTCACACTGTGATTTTAGCTGTTGCTAGGTAACACATCACCATTCAGCTGAGAACAGACCAACTGCATGTGTTTCAGAGATCAGCATTTTGGCTTTATAAGGCACATCAGGTAGAAATACTGGCCAATCGAGGAGTATAAAAACTAGGTGCAGCTAGTTTGGTTTGCTGGAGAACGAAAGAGCATGTGGATTTAGCTTCCAATGTCTAAAGCAAATCTCTCCTTAAAGGTGCGCCTTAAAAGTGTTGCAGCTGATTGTCCACTATAAGTTCTTGCTGATTCGACAGGAACATATACAGGTGCACAAAAATTGCCTCTGAACATTTCTTATTTCTGTTCAAAGCTGTTGCTTGAGTTCCTCTGACAACATTGAATGGAGCATCTGAAACATACGATTAAGCAAAGCTATACACAGATCTGGAGGGAGGGGGGTCATACGCTGCCTCCTGTCAGAGGTCCATACTGTGCTGTCTGAGGATTTATCCATCTGAATTTGTCATAGGGATAGAGGGGGGTGGGGACAGGGGAGAGAGGGAGGGTACAGTGGGAAAAAAAGTGAGAGAAAGAGGAATGAAAAAGATGGGGGGAGGAAGGGAATGTAGCAAGAGGGAGAAAGAGAGAGACAGAGAGAGGGGGGAGAGGAAGGGCACAGGGGAAAAGTGAGAGAGGAATGAAAAGGGTGGAGGGAGGAAGAGAATATAGCAAGACAGAAAGAGAGAGAGATTGACTTTAATTTGTTTGTGTGTCTGTGTGTGTTTGGAAAGGTGAGGATAATTCTGTTTTGTTTGTGTAGGCAAAATATGAAGGTCAAGCAGGTCTGCTGCATCTGATGGTGCGTGAGCTCCTTGAGCTTCGGCTGTGCCTGTAATCTTCATGCAAGTCAGACAGCGCGTAATGGGTGCCCATCACTAAACTGCTACGTGTGGCGCAGAGAGGGAAAGCTGTGCTTGAGCTCCGGCCGACAGTGAGGCACTGGATGCGGTCACTGCAGCATCCCAGTCAAGAGCAGCAGTGATTCGGAAGAAGCCAAGCTGACAATTGACACAGTTTGAAAAAATGAGTGATTAATCTGTTCGCCGTGTGAGGAGAACAATCACGCTGAGAGGTCAGTCTCTTCCAGTTTCCGGCCGAGAGTGCTGAAGGTACAGTATTAAGTCTGAAAGTGGGACTAAGTCTGAAAGTCGGAAGCTAAGCTAAAATCGAGGAGAGGCCAAACTGTGGACTAGACAGCTCAGGGCATCTGTATGAGTCACTCTAACAAAAATGAAGAGTCGTGTCAGGCTCTCCTAAGGAATGCAGTCCGTCCTAATTACAGGAGGCCTGTCAGGGGAGGCCTGCTAGCAGGGAGCCCAGCAGTGTCACACTCTGGCCAGCAGGGGTCCCTCGACAGGCCACTTTAATTGGGAGCGTCTGTGTTTTTTCCCCCCAAATCTCACAGTACCTCCATACCTCCGGTGAACACATCCTGATGTCCATGGATAGGGCTAAAATTTCCCCGGAGAAGCAGTAAGGACATACAGCGAGCCGGCCCCGGAAGAGTCACAGATATCACAGGACGCAGGGATGACCCATCCGGGTACAGCAGCGCTGACCGTTTACCTCTAGCACTGTTCAGCACACGCGCATCGTGACAGTACTGTACATGGGCACGTCCAGCAGGAGTCTCTCTCCTGAGTCTGCTGTTCACAGTTCTCCCCCAGAGTGGGTGTGTGTCAGAATGGATGCTCCTCTGCCATCCAGAGTCATCTTCACTCTGCTCCCTTTCTAATCAGAGAACAGGGGCCTGGCAGTAAACAGGAATAGACCTCCCCTTGCAACGCTCCAGAAATGTACACATGTCAGGGGGGAGAAGCCATAAAAAATAGATTTACTGCACAGAAAATAGAACATTCTACCATCTCTAAAAATGACATCAACAAGCTCCTCCCACACGGTAGCACATGAACAAATAAATCGAAAGGTAAGGCTCACATGATCATCTTCAAGGGGGAGAAAACAACCTATGATGAATTTGTGGGCTATTACCCAGCCTGTTTCCTGGCAGGGAAATGTAGGGCTTGCTCTTAGACACAGATTTGTATACATATGGGACACCCAACAGAAGCTACGCATCTCCGAAAATATATTCTACAAAATAAAATGGCTGAAATTAAATTCAGGGCAGGATAAAGCTTTCATTGCGATCCAAAAATGTACAACATAATTCTAAATTAAGTTAAAAACTAGACATCCCTCCCCCAGTATCATCTTAAATCTATACAAAGCTTGATGTATATGTCCACGACTAACTCCAACCCCCCTCCCCCACACACACCAAACTGACATGGACCGAGAAGTAGACTGAGAATCCAGAACTCACCCTTAACCGCACTGTAACCACTCAGAAACAATTACATAACTCACAAGGGAACACAAACAATAGGACGGAAATGTGATTCCGACCTCTACAAAGAAATTACTTCACGGCAAACACGCTTTTGTTCTGCTGAATTGCTATACAAATGTAGCATCATCGACGGGACACAGTACACCACCTTCTTCAAGCTGTTGTCAGAAAAGACTCTAGCATATATCTCTCCTGTTTAAAAGAAATGTCCAGGTTGGGAACATCCAACAATGGCTTATAGGGAGTTTAATAGAGTTTGTGGATCTACCCAATCAAGACAATCCAAGCATTGAGACCCTCACTGTGAAGGCCTAGAGGCTGATTAAACACAGCACATATTTATGTTACAATCGCCTTTGGCCTTGTTGGATGATATCACAACTGGAGTCTCTGCCTTACTGGGACTGCCCTAGATAGCTTCAGGTTATACCCTGCTGACAGCAGCCATGTAATATCTACAGACAGCCTCTGTCCCAAAACCACAAGAAGTCCTGCAGGGTTCTTCACTGTTCATTTGCTGCTCTACAGTGGAATCATCTCATCTGCCTGCAGTTTGCAAGGCACACCCTTGGATTTGTTTAGATTGTTTGCAGCTACATCCATTCAAAGAATCTCTGTTTTCAGTTAAACACTTTAGCCATGAATACAGCTGCTTATTGTTTAGGGACAGAAAAGCAGGACATTTCAATCACAAGTTCAAGAATCTGTGTTTTTTTTTGCTTGTCTTCACTGAACACATCAGACATAAAAATATATATCTGCTGCACTATTGTTACTAGGATACCACTGAAGAGACTAAAAATCTTAACAGAACTAATCATAGTGTATTTTACAATGCTGCTGAACAAATATCACAATCAAAACATGATAAACAGTTATTCGTAGACAAATCTGAGTTTGTACTCAAAAATCACATCTGTAACTGGTTAAACTGTGTTTTTTTCACACACTTGACCAATTTACTGCTGCTCTTATGAAACAGCTCTACAGGTACAAGTGTGAGGTGACAGCTTCTATGATTTATCTTCTACATGCCAATGCGCTTCAGGTGAACAGAAGTCCGGCTCACACAAAGGTCACCAATTTGCACAAATGCGTGTGGTTCTTCATCATAATACAGCAAATGTTGTTACAGGACAACACCGATTCACCAATCGCCACAGCCCACTTTCCACAGAAAACGCTAGAACTGCTTTCTCTGGCTAGAGGATCACAAGGTTCCAAAACATGCATGTGTCTTCAGCTTTGGTTACGTTAAGAGCTCCCTAATGCACCATGCCCGCTAGGACACCCTGTCCTTCATACACATTGAGGACAGATTCACAGTCTGCTTGGGAAAGTCCGTCTCACATCCAGACTCAACGTCGCATCCTGCTGGCTGCTAGGAAGGGATCACATCATCTTTGCTATCCCTCTTCTCAGCCTCCAGCCATTGATTATCATATAGGCACACAAACCACCGTAAATTTCATTCTTTTCCTCCACTGGCCTCATACAAAGTGAAAACCATATCTGAACTGTGTGTTCCCACCCTCAGATTACATGGAACGATTTTCCATGCTGCCAAGAAGTTACAAATTCAAGATCTATCCTGTCACGGATTAAACATGTACTCTTTATGAATTCCAGGAGTATGTCTCAAAATTCCTATCCTTATCCCGTTAACCATGGCTGTGTCTCGGGTTAACCATGTACCCGATACACAATGAGCTCTTATCAAACGTGAACAGAAAGCCAAGATGCTCCTAGAGTAGCTGAGAACTGCCGATACCCCCATTGGGTCCGTAGGGTGAAGGTTTCGATCAAGTTGGCAGGTCGTCTCGAGACAAATCCCTCAGCTTATCTGGGGATCGCGCATAGAGCCGTGAGCCAGCTGAGCCGTGCCTCACGCCATCTACAGGAAGACAAGAACGCACAACTCATCCTGCCAACAGGCTCAAACTCTGAACACGGACAGAGGGTAGGGCTTCCTGTTGGAAAGCCGCAATCAGAGCCTCTCAGTGTTTGAAGAGGGAAAAAACAGGTGCTGGCAGCGCCCTTGTTATTCAGTACCAGCAGATAATGAGAGGTGCCGGTAGGCAAGAAATGTCCCTGCTACTCAAAGGAAAAAACAAAGCCATGCCGGGAATGTGTACCAGTGAGTTCCAGCCCACTTAAGCACTGGAGTGTCTTAAACCAGCAGTGGCTAGACAGAGGACCACACTGGAGCTGTCCAAATGTCCATGTGCAAATGCAGCCTTCAGAAACTCCACTTAAAAAGGCATTTCACGTCTCGGCCCAGAATATCCTCAACTGTCTAAACACAACTGCTGCTCCAGTGTAGAGGTTCCATAGCTGTATACACCATAAGCTACAGCAGGTGGACAAAAAGACTACTTACAGGGTACGGTCCGTAGGTACAGGTTGTCCCGGATGGTCTGCTGGAGCTCGTGGTCCACGGAGCCCTTAGGGAAGCGAAGGTTGAGGTAGTGACGGAGGTCTTTGTCAATGACACCCCCTGAGGGAAGAAGACGGCAACAGCTTTTGTAAGCTTCAGTGCTGACACCCTGCAGTTCGGCTACAGGATGCCCTGGTTTTGCTGTGGACAGGGCAGCCGCCTCTTTCAAGTGACTGGCCACTGTTGGGCTTTCAGATGGAGACCCACGTTTCTAGAGTCAACACCTGGCACTCAGAAAAGCGTTTAATCTTTTGGATGGCGACGGCATTCATTTTCCATCCAAGAGACACTGGTCCTTGACATTTAACACTGGATTTAACCGGCAGCAAAATGTTACAGGATTCGGAAAGAGGATAAAACATGATGCATTTTAATTGCCAAAAAAAAAATTAAGAATAGGCAAGTGGATAAAATGTTCAAAAAAAATGACAAAGGCATGCACACTCACACACATACACACACAGAAACATACATAGGCACAAATCTTGAGGATTATTTTCAAGAGAAGGAAATGGAGCCTGTGAGAAAAACAGCAGAAATATATTTTTCTCTTTTTCTTTGTGTATGTTCATATATGTATTTAATGCCAGTGCGCGTTCTTCACAGTCCTATTGCATTTAGGATACAATTGAAATAAATAAATATAGATACGCTCATTCACTGATAGAAAATACAGCAAACAGAAAATGAGCATGAAGAATTTGACATTGTGAAGGAGCAGGAAAATACATCGGCGTACACACAGAACAAAGCAGGCAGGCAGGCAGATAACAACACACACACACACACACGCAGACGGACAAAGGCAGTAAAAGCACCTCCGCTTGTAGCGCTGCTGCTATTCACGCACACACTGGGCTTCCCGTTAGTCCACCGGCCGCGTGTGACTGTGCTCCATCAGCACCCGCTCCTCCCGGAAGCCTTCATCCAGGCACGGAACGGAGACAATGAGCAAGGAGGAATGGAAGAGCGAAGCGCGAGAGAGAGCCAGACCGAGGGAGAGACAGAAAGAGCCAGACAGCAGGAGAGCGATCAGCCACTGGAGGCCTGAGTCACTGGCAGCCGCCTTCTGATTGGCCTGTGCGATTCAGAGGTCCTGCAGCTTCCCCTGGTGGCCATGACGGGCAGTGCATGGTGTTTTGGTGTACAAGGAAGATGCTATCTGACACACAGTGAAAGTGCCACCCTTTGGCGCTAATGGGAACCTTATTAGCATGTGAAAATCTCATTAGCATGTGAAAGGCCTCCTGTGTGCCAGCGAGCTAAAACATTAACCCACGTTGCTTGCTGACTGACAAGCGATCACTCAGTCCAGACAAAGTCAGTTATGCTGCGACCCACACACCATAGCTCGAGGTCTAACCTCTGTGCGACGTGAAGCCAGCTAGTCAAAAGCTGTTTAAATGAATAAAGAATAGGGAATAAAAATGGTGTGTAGGGATCTATGTCCACATCTGGAAGGTTGTGGGTTCAAATCCTAGTTGGCAGAGCAATTATATCACCACTGGGCCCTAGAGCAAAGCTCCTGGACCTGAGATGCTCAAAAGACTCTTCTCATTGATCCTCAATTGTATGGGGCTCTGCACAAAAACATCAACTGAATATGTAAAAAGCACAATAAAAAACAATAAACGACCATTGTTTACACATTTATTTCTCATTTTATATATATTTTTTGTTATTTCTGTTTCCTGGCCTCAAATCACTCCATTATAACCATTAGTCAGTTTTTAAAAATATGTTATTACGGGTTACCCCAGCCTTATAACAAATTTATACATAAATAAATCCACAAAGACACTCTGATATGTCCTAGACAGAGTTGGATCCGGGAAAGGGTAAGATGGGTGCCATTGGTGGACATGTCAGGTCCAGAGGGCAAAATCCAGACCATGATTTTGTTTCAACCAACCAGTTGAGCATAAAGAGCCACAGTTACAGAGTACTGAGCCGGTTGGTTGAAACAAAATCATGGTCTGGATTTTTACCTTCTGGACCTGAAATTTCGATCTCTGGGGATTGCTCAGGGAGGCTTCTTCTGAGGGGGTGTAGTCTTAGCGAACTGCTTGAGCCAACCACCACCCGATTGACAGCTTTTACCATACAGAGCCACGCCCACCTTCATGGGGGGAGGGGTAAAATTAGCGGAGGTGGGGGGGTCAAAGGTGAAGTTTGCCTCAGGTGCCACATGGACTCCACTGGGTAGACAGGACTCATTTAACTTCCCAATATCAAACAAACAAACAAAAAAAGTATTAGTTATGTAAAATGTGAACACAAATGAAGTAGACGAAAGTACAAATAAAAACACATTTGCTATGGAATTAAGGAATTAAGATTACTTTGGGAAAGTCATGTTCCTTGGTTCAAGTTAATTAGTATAATGTCATTCATTTACTATGTATGCCTTGCTTAATTACTCATTCATACATTTCACCTTGAAAACTACCACACCCCCACCTCGCTTCCACGCCTGCCCCCGCCCCATTGCTGCAACTGTAGAGGGATTCAAATCACAAATAGGAGGCAAGAAGCAACAGTACTAAGCACTGAACCATCACACCACCCAGGCCAAAAACACTTTTAAATTGCCCTGTTTGCGTGCGCGTCGCGATCACTTGGTGTTTGGTACCACATGCCCTGAGCACCAGATTAAGCAGTTTGGGAAAATGGATGCACGAATAGATTATCCAGTTCTCACCAGTTAGCAACGGAATCCTATTCATGCCGCAAATGCCATGATCATGGGCTGAAAAGTGCAACAGTCGTCATACTGGGTTATCGCCGTGCAATCATGTTGTCATAATATTGTGAACACAGAGGCATTTTGTTGTTATTTGTCATCGTTTTTGTCATATTTGTACAACTCCTTTCTTTATTTAGTTTCTAATATTTAGCAGGATTCTGTTCTCTGTAATAGTCCCTTCTTTTGCAAACAGAGGCTTCCCCAGTAGACCAGTGACACACCTCCTGAAAGGAACGACGCATCTAACACACTAACGATGTGCTTTGCTGGGCGGTGATGTGACGGCCCTTAATGCCCCACGTTCATCCAGCTAGAGAGCATTCCACACACCCTCTCCTTCAGCGAAAAGGTTTTGTTTTGTGAGCGATTACCTGAGTGGTCAGTTCCCAGATTAAAAAAAAGTCACCAGCCATCGGTCAGATAATCCCTGTACCAGATAACAGATGTAATCTATATACTTGCTGCATTTCCTGTTTATGGTTCATTCCAACATTAGAAGTTCCATTAGACACGATAATGAGGTTATGGCCCCATCTGTGGCCAAATCCAGGTAAATGTGGTACTAAGTATAGAAAAATGCTGAGATTCCTAAGTTTTTGTATTTTCAGTTAGTGTTTGTTTAACATTTTGTGACTTTTTATAATACCCATCTTCCTGTAAGGTACCGCAGATGACTTTGACCCAACATGAGACCAATGTTAAATAAACACATTTGACACAGCCAGTACATTGACTCATTTGTAATTTATAGTCAGTGGCGACTTTCGTAGGGACACCTGCTTGTTAAAGCCAAGGTCCAACCTGCATCTATCAAGAGAGAATCATGTGCTGTGTGAGCATGGCGTGCTAAAGGGAGTCAGTCAGGGTGCTTCCGGTGTCTCAGCCACATCCATCTATCCTGGATTTTCACGCAGGACGGCGTCCAGAGTTTACCGAGGATAATCCTGTCAGTTGTAGTTCTGTGGTAAACACCTTGTTAGTGTTTCCCCAATGAAGCAGTGGCTGAGTGCATACTGTAGCTGGTTGCCTTTCAGACTTGAAAACACAACCTTTAAAGATCACATAATTTACCAGGCCAAAGGCTTGCACAGCAGCTCGGGCCCCAATTCCACAAGGCAACGTTACTGCGGTAAATGACACACGCACCCAATGAACTCTGCGAACCCCCAAAAACAAATACAAACCTGAGCGACCGGCAGACACAAGTCTGCAGCATCAGAGGCACCACAGTAAGAGACAATCAACCCCCAGATCTGTGCAGCCAGCTGAGCTCACTGGCACATGCAGCTCGTGCAGCCAGACAAACCCAGACTGTCAATGAGCTCCACTCCATTCCCACAAAAGAGAAAAACTCTGTTTTGCTACTGCGGGGCATTTCAGGCACATATGCAATTTCATTCAGAGGCATCTCTTTGTGGGAGATAGTGAATGACAAGGTGCCACCACCAATCCCGAGCTTCAGGATGCCATCAGTAAGCAATTACAACACAAGCAGAGAGCGGCTGTCGGAGCGAGCCGTCACTCTGCTGTCTGCTGGTGCGAACAGAGCACAATACTGATCACAAAAATAACTGCAGAGAGGAGCCTTCAACCTTTCTATTTTTATATGGTTTTCATTTATGCGATGCCGTAGATCTTTAAGGCTATGTATCTAGAGGTTCCGCAGATCGATTCCCAACAGGTTCATCTGTAAGGGTATTATAATCTCCTCTATATTAGGGTGCAGATCGGTCCAGAAAGGTCATCCTATGGAGGACGAGGAGGACGAGGGAGGGAAGAACACACACACATGCTGGTGCATTTCTATTAGTGTGTGGACTGCCCTTTAAAACCCATTTTATTCCAATTAATCATCCTTGACATTGCTCCAGCACAATTCAACAACATGAAAGATGACAATTCGCCGAAGAAACTTTTGGCACTTTCGTGGAGCAAAATAGTTCCTGTTTCTCAAAATTTAGTGCCCCTGTTGGGACATTTTGTGATGTTACAAATGACAAATTAATGACAAAGCCCATAAACCACAAAGACATCCACAACATTATGATTATTAAAGAGACGATTGGCAACGATTGGTTTGTTTCTAAATGACACTGAAATTGCACTGCGCTTTAAAATTGTTTGTAAATTTACAATAGTCAGCTGACAGGCCTCACCTCTCCATATCCAGAGTTCTTGGCTACTTCAAGCAGGCCTGTTGTGTTGTAATAAATTCTAATTTATTTTATATTGTCTGTTGACAGGTAACTCTCCCATTTGTAAGGGAAAACGTGCATCGAGCAGTCTACCTCCTCCCCAACATTTAGCCATCCAT